ATCACACATCAATTCCCTGTCGAAGAAGTTACGCATCGATTTTTAGCATTGGGACCCATTTTTGACATGTCATACGATCTAATTGGAAGATGACATCTGAAGAAAAGTTGTAGCACTTTGAGTTAGCTTTCCAATGCAACTTGAATCACCTCAATCGGACATTAGGAGAGGAAGATATGTTCAAAATACTGAAAGCTATCCTGCAGAGAAAAAATTATACTATGTATATGCCTACTGCAGGCCTTGAGCAAGTGAGATTCCAAAAATACACTACTAAAGCCTAAACAAGTCTACTGTATGTACGCACCATTAGAACCATGCATACGCATGGTTCATTCGGGGGCCAAATCTCAGTATCCTATTTTTGATCAAACTCTTATAATAACTTAATGTTTCACGACTTTTAAACCCCGGATCGACCCAGAACACAAGGAGACGCATCCAAACCCATTCTTTTCACCTTGGTGCTCAAGAAACTCCGTGAAAAACTAAGGAATTTGGTGAAACTACGAAAGAACTCAATCGATTTTGGTGATTTTGACATCCGTTAATTATGTAATTGAATTTTTCATTGTTAAACAGTTTTATAATCATATTTCCATATTTTGAATGAGTTTTGACATTAGTTTAACATTTATTAGATTTTCCATAGACTCAGTCACGCTTTTTCTATCGAGTATTTGAAATATTTGTTGAATTGCAATTTCAATTAATTAAAATTATTGGTGTGATTCTCTACTTCCTTATGCCTATGTATATGGTCGTTTTTTAATCTGATTTCAATAATTAATTGTGCGAATTTGTTTTTAGGAAATTTGATTTCTAGAATTACCATAGAATTGAATTTGTGCTTAATGTTATATCTTTCGATTAAAGAGTTACATTTAATGTCTTTAATCGAGTGAAAACATATGAATTGATGATATTGAATGACACAAACCGGTTGGGGAGAAGTCCGATGCTTCACTTTCATATACATTGATTTAATTTTACTACGTAAACATTGATTTCATTCAAACCGTAAAATCATTACAAATTTTGAGAGAACCATCACCTTTTGGACTTTTGGATTAATTTCCATCTCCCTGTGGATACGACACTTCAAAGCTGTACTATAATTACCGCGTTATACTTTGGGCGTAATCATGATCATCTTGTCAAAAGTAAACCCAAATAGGATGTTAATGAAGCTACCATTGTCGACTAGCATTCGTTTGAGCCCATTCCAGACCACTATGACCCTTACCACAAGCGCATCGCAGTGGGGGTGGGGGTAGTGAACTCCCTCAGAGTCTTTTTGGGTGAAGACGATGGGTGGTGCTTGATTTCTTCGGGAGGCGCTGCCCATAAAGTAGATGGTCAACGGGGGGTGTTTGGCCTTTTGGGCTTAGTTCCTTTTCGCATTTCGTGTTTAAATCACTCCCAATGCAATTTGAATGCCAATGTTTAAATCACTCCCAATGCAAATTAAAAAAAATTAGATTTTTTACTTTATTTTCCCAACATATAACTTTTAACAAAATTATATAAAAATTTGATTCTATTTGAGTACCCGTGGTCGTAAAAACAAATATTACGGATTCGAACCCTTTTTTCCCCCTTCGCATTATGCCCATTTCCATTATTTATATATATCAAGTCTTAATAATCCTAGTTTTCATTTTTCGCTTTTTCGAATAAACAAAATTGGGTATGAGTATTACAAGTTAAATTTACTGTCGAGTTGATGTTTTATTGACGAAAATTGGGTTCCAACTGTTGAGTAATTAGATATCCAATTCAAATCGAGGAAATTTTCCCCATAGAACATTTGAAGAGTGAAAAATGAAATTGAAAAAAATGAATCTTTTTAACTGATTTGGGTTTGTATTTAATATTTATGTTTCAGACTTCTCAAACAAACTCGAAAAAGTAGATATAATTTTTTAGAGTTTTGTGACAACTTAGAAGTACTATTCTTCTCAATTTTGCCTAGATGCATTTTAATTAAAGAACACTACAATCATTTTGCATGATTGGATTACTATACTTTGGATAGGAGACATACTAAATTGACAAGAAAATAAAAAAAAAAGAAATTCCTGTAGACCCTGAATTAGTACTTCTTCAGCTAAAATCAATAGGCTAGGTTTGAAATTTGATGAGGCAATGAATTTTATTTTTTATTTTTTTCCTCTCTCTCTCTCTCCAGAATACAATTAATCAACATGTTCACTAATCGTAGTCTTGCCCTATATCTGCATTTTTCCTAAAAGAAATATGGAGTTTTGCTTCTAGCAGTGGTTCTTCGATCATTGCTTTTAGAGGCGGGATTGCTTCGTTGCTGGGGTTTCCTTTTCACCAATTCGGTTTTGTCAGCCTTAGTCTAACATTTTGTTAGAAAAAAGTAATACAATATAAAGATGATCTAAATTAATACTAAAATTAAATATACCCATGTATGCAGCATGGCCATAATTCTATCAACAATATTTTCGCATCACCATTTTTAGCCTCTTATAAGCTCTATTTTTTAGTTCACTGAAACCCAGAAATATAGCAAAGGTAGGTTGAGTTGAAAAGGAAACAGGAAAGATGAAAGAGTACAAAGATTGTAAAATTAGGTTCACCAAACTCAGTTGTGGCAGTACCACGGCCATACCAACTTATATTTAGGGAAAATTGCAATAATAGTCCCTAACCTATTAACGTTGTGTCAAATCCATTTTCGTTTCTTTTGACAGCAACGTGTATATTTTAAAAATAAATGACTCATGCATTCAAGTTATTTGTCTTCTCATGTCTAAGTAGATCTTACATAGTCTACATGTTATGTAAATTGTGATGGACACTTTCACAAATCACAATCATAACCTTGATTGGAGATGGACAGCATTTTCATTGCATCGACTAGAAGGTCCATGCTAACAAAAGTTTATAATTACCATACTTTAAAAATACAACTTCTAAAATAACAAATTTGTAGATTTCTTTCAAAAATCAAGTCATAATTCATATTTATCTTTCATAAAAATCATTAATTATATATGCACGATTTTTTATTAAAATATTATGTTATTTAAATTAAGGGTTATTATTCTCTTTCATTTCCAAAACTAAAGGCAGAGCCCTAAGATTTTATAATGGAACCCCTTTCAAGTAACTAAAACATATATTAGAATAATATTCCAATAGTATTATTTCATTGCAATAATATGATATTTAAATTTTTTTTTATTTTATTTTTTACATACATGAACAAGAAAAATATAGATAAAACTCAAAAGCATCTCTCGAATTTCATTAAAATTCATGTTATCAACAAAGAACCATCCAAGCCACTAGCCTCTTCGTATAATTTCATATAAGCAAATCTTGAAAAAAATATATATATTAAGTGTAAAGCTCGAAATGTAACAATTATGTAAAAATATTTCTTTTCGCATTTTTAAAAGCAAACTCACTAATTGAACTTTCGTAATCAATTTTTTCTAGAAAGTCTTGTTCAAAAGATATCAAAACTAATCCATTCAATCGTTCTTGTAGCATGGTTGATCGCAAATAAGATTTTAATAATTTCAATTTTGAAAAACTCCTTCAGCAGATGCAGTAGTAACATGAATTGTCAATAATATTCTATAAACAATACATTTATTTCTTTTGGTAAAAATTTCGCAAAATTTTTAACTCTTGACATAAATCTTCGACATCAAGATTAAAAAAATTTACATGTCTTAAAACAATATCAAGATGATTACAACATGCTTTCAAATTAGCATCATCCAATGAGTTTAACTTGTCATAAGAAAATAGAAATTTAAATTTTTTCATGTGAATTGAATTAATCAAACCTTCATTCAAGTTATCCAATTGCTTGATATACTATATAAAAGAAATAATTGGCTCCGAAAGAATCTTCAGGTGATTGTGCATTGTCTATAGTAGCATTTTCATCAAAATGTTTCTTCCTATGAATTATACGTTTTACTTGAAATAAAGGATTATTTTCATTTCAATGGTAATTTCTTTAGCAATATTTATCGCATCATTGAATCTGGTTTTCCCATATTTTTTTGAAAAAAGAAGAAGAAGAAGCAATTAGCCCTTTCACATCCTCAATAGCAACGTCAATAAGCATATCATTAGATTTTCGACATAAAGGGTTGCCAAAGCATGAGCCCTGACACCTTACATCATTTTCATTTTCAATTTCAGCAACTTCAAGTAAAGCTTCTCTTAATTCAGGAGCTTGGAATCTAATTGCTTTAATAGCTTCAACATGACTTTCCTATCATGTAGCTGACAATGGCTTGACATTAGTTTTAAAACTATTTTTCAATATTTTTCCATCTCTTTGTAGATTATAAATACCTTGTATAGCACCAAAAAAATCTTTTGCTCTGACACAAGAGTTTGTCATATCACACAATGCTAAATTCAGACTATAACATCCACATGGTGTATAAAATGCTCTAAGATTTATGTCTAGCGGTTTTTTTTTTTGAACACCTTGGTGCTTACCGTTCATACTAGATCCATTATCAAATCCTTGTCATCATACATCATTAATGTCAACATTAAAAGCTATTAGAGTATTTTGTAATTATTCAAAAAGTCCTTGACCTGTTGTGTTGTTCACTTTTAAAAATTTAACAAAATATTCAAGTATTTTAATTGGATTACTAGATAAGTCTACGCATCTTAAGATCAAGAACATTTGTTCTTGGTGACTTGCATCTGGAGTACAATCAAGTATCACAAAAAAAAATTTTGCTTCTTTGATTTTTTAATAATTGTGCTTTGGATTTTAGAAGCTATCAACTCATTTTAAATTTTATGTGAAAGATAATGATATTGAATTTCATTACTTTCAAAATGCCTCATATGGTCCTTCATGATAGGATCCCACTTTGCAATTATTTCAATTAGTCCTAAGAAATTCCCTTTACTATCCTCAAGAGGTCTCTCGTTAGTACCACGAAAAACCAAACTATTTTTAGCTAGGTATTGCACGACATAAGTTATTCTTTGTAGTACTTCCTTCCAATTTGAATTTCTACATCAATTGTTTCATTTTTGTTCAATCTAGCACGTAAATCAATCCAAGTAGCCATGTTGTTGATATGCACACTACTCATTTCATGTTCTTTAAGCCTGACACTGAGATGTACCCAGTCACTAAATCCTTCATGTATTAACCTACTTTTTTGTAAATCTCTTTTAAATAACTTACAACAAAAACAAAAAACCCTATCAAGATCATTTGAATACACCTGTCGTGGCCTATCACATTTCTCACCATTTGATAAATAACAAGTGTAATGGCTTGAAGAGAAACATCTAGACAAATTATCTTTTGCACCCTTTTCAAGTGTCGGGTCTCTTGTAGGACTATTTATCACTGGCAAATCTCTATATTTTATATCAAGATTATTCCAAGTACTTGGATCATAGATATTGAAGGGAATGGACTTATTATGAATTAAACCATCTACATCTTCATTAGTACCATTTTCTTTTACAGATTTATCATCAACCTCTTCAATAGTAACGTTTTCCTTAGGAAATTCATCATCATCGTTATCATTTTTGTCATCATCAACATTGTCAGGTATATCATTTTCATTTTTATCATCAACATTGTCAAGCATATCATGTTCATTTTGTCTCTACTCCTCAACATCTTCATTTTTATCAGCTTCAAGAATTTGGTCCATATTTTTAGTTTCTTTAACAATAAATCTGTCAATAGCACCTTTTTGATACTCTATCAACTCTTCAATTTTTCTATTTTTGGTTTCTTTTCCAAATCCTGATTGTTGTTTTCTAGGATACATTTTAAACTTCCATTTGCCAACAACAATAAAAACTATAAAAGCATATAATGTTTAAAGGAGATTAAAAAAAAAAAAGAAGAAGAAGAAGAAGAAGATAGCACTTGGTTAAAGATTAAATCAGCAAAATCTTTATACACAATTAAAGCAATCTTGATTCTTCAATAACTTGTGTTTCACCAATCAAACGAAAAGAAAGTCAAAGGGCAATAAAAATTCAATAAATCAATTTCATTAGCAGATTTCACTTTATAATTAATTGATTTCACTTATTAAATTAGTAATTATAAATTATGAACAGCGAACCCATTTTGACAGATAATTGATATCAGTTAACAATAAATCTCTTCAAAGTTAATTGATTCCATTTATTAAATTAGTAATTATAAATTATGAACGATGAATCCATCTTCAAACCATTGAAAAAATATTAAAAAAGAATTTTATTTTTTTGAATATTCAGAGAAATTATTGAAGAAAAAATATGTTAAGGAAGTGTTCAACTTCTCTAGAGGAAAACTATGTCGTGCTGCCTCAATCCTCAGTTTCCACGTTCAGGCAAAACAAATTCATATTTTAACAAGTTCTTGCAAAGCGAATTCAAACAAGTGAAATCACGGAGCGAGATTGACAAAAAGATAATCACGAAAAGATAATAAGCAATTCAAATTTTCAGCAAGAGTAATGAAAAATATGAATCGTCAATCTTTGCTTAAGGAAAAGAGAGAATTTTTTAGAGCCAGATCAAATATTATTGAAGAAAAAGACGATTTCTCCAAAAAGACGGTTGGTTTTTCTCTTTTCTGTCTCAATTATCTTTGAAATAATTGGAAAAGACGATTGGTTTCTTTAATTCTTTTCTCCAGAAAGATGATTGAAAAAGGCGGTTGTTCAATTTTTCTTACTTATCTCAGTTCTTTAGGCAGCCTGATCTCTTTTCGACTTTTCCATTTTCCCTCACATAAATTAAGGTAGGAATACTATTTAAGAATATTATATTCAAGGATATTATAATTAATTAGTGACATTATTCTTAATTTTAATATCTTATGCATAATAATAAAAATTTTATAGTTTAAATATTTAATTATAAATAAATATACAATTATAACAAGAAATTTTTTGGTTCCCCTACAATTTTGAGGCACTGTGCGGCCGCTCAACTCGTGCACCCTCAGGCCGCCTCTGCTCATTAAATTTCCCTAAATTCACAATTTCTATCGGGCATTTCATCCAACACTTTCCTCGCATTCTCAAACATGCCGGATTGTCTATACAATTGACAAGTCTGATAGAGAAGTGAAAATATCATGTCTGAATTGCTTCTAGTGTTGAGGAATTCCTTCAATCCACTTGAAGCGTTTGGCAGAAGGCAGGTGGTGGACTATGGACTCATAAATGCCGTTATTGGTGTGGAGATGAGGTTGTCTCCATGAGGCAGAAGCTTGAAAAATAAGAAGATATTCTCTCACTCCATATTTTACGGTTGAAATCTATTAAAAATGATAATTATCCTTAAATTCCGGGATTCCTTACTAAACTATCAAACACATTATTTTGTACATAAATTTAACTGATGTTTGGATAAAATTTTTAATGACCTGATTAACGATAATACAATCTGTTTCTCTTAATTTTCTCCCAGCGAAAATGGCTTAGAGAAACATATGTTAATTGCAACCCAAATCTCCAATAGAATTATGATTCATTCAAATATCCAATGATGAAAAAATTATGTCCCGTTGATATAACCGAGGTTGTCAAGAAAGCAAAGGGGCCAGACTTAGAGCTCGAATTCAGTAAAATAACAATATTTTAATTCATTGATCAACATTAACGTACATCAGTAAATCATTATATCCATGGATGACAATGGGTCAGGTTTGGGACGGGGCACGAGGCAACGGCTTGTCTGGTTTTTTGCCCTTTTTTTTTTTTTTTAATACATTTTCAAAATTTCAAGTTATGCTATTATTAGAGAATAAAATACAAATTCAAAATGCACACGAATATTCCATAATTTCAGCCATTTCGTATAATGATAAATAATGCAAAAGACCATTACAACATCAATGCAGTTTTCGGCAGGTCACCTGTAATGACATTATAGGGGAGGGAGGAAAGAACACAAATTAAGCAAAAATATAGAAGATAGAGCCCTCTTTTCTGAAAGTACTTCCACAAGAAATGGGGAAACGAAAAGACGATATTTATGGGCTTCACAAACTATTCTAATGGAGTATAGAATGACTTCCTACTTTTTTCGTGCTGATGTTTTCTTTGCATTACAGCTTACCTATGACTCGGTATATTCCGATATTGTACTTCTCTCATATTCCATAACAGCTTCTGTGGGAGCTCTTGTTTTCAAAACCATTTCTTCATACTCGTCGCTAGCATTTGAAAGTGCTGTAATAGCCCCTCCTGCCCCTATGGAAGCTTCACCGTCGTGCATGATAATAGTTCTTATAACTATATTAAGGTCAAAGGTTTGGTTATACGAGAAATATCCAATGCATCCAGAGTAAATACCTCTTGAACAACTCTCCAGAGAATCCAGAATTTCCATTGATCTTAGCTTTGGTGCACCTGTCATTGACCCACCGGGAAATGCTGCTTTCACACAGTCGATTGCACTAATATCTGGTTGCTTTGTTCCACGTATCGTACTCACCATTGTGTGAACTGTAGCATAGGATTCAACTTCCATAAGATTAGGCACATGAACAGAGCCCGGCTCACAAACCCGCCCCAGGTCATTCCTCAGAAGGTCAACGATCATCAAATTTTCAGCTTGATCCTTTTCACTATTCATGAGACAATGAGAAAGCGTACATTATTGAAAATATAAAAACCTTGGTCAATAAAGAAAATGCGGCTCACACTGGTTACCTAAATGCAAGTATTGGTAAGCATGGGAAAGGGGGAAATTGAGGCCACTAAAAGGTGCTTGAGAAAGCAAGCAAACCTGTGGGATTTACATATATAAAATTATTAAATTAGTAATTATAAATTATGAACAGCGAACCCATTTTGACAGATAATTGATATCAGTTAACAATAAATCTCTTCAAAGTTAATTGATTCCATTTATTAAATTAGTAATTATAAATTATGAACAGCGAACCCATTTTGACAGATAATTGATATCAGTTAACAATAAATCTCTTCAAAGTTAATTGATTCCATTTATTAAATTAGTAATTATAAATTATGAACGATGAATCCATCTTCAAACCATTGAAAAAATATTAAAAAAGAATTTTATTTTTTTGAATATTCAGAGAAATTATTGAAGAAAAAATATGTTAAGGAAGTGTTCAACTTCTCTAGAGGAAAATTATGTCGTGCTGCCTCAATCCTCAGTTTCCACGTTCAGGCAAAACAAATTCATATTTTAACAAGTTCTTGCAAAGCGAATTCAAACAAGTGAAATCACGGAGCGAGATTGACAAAAAGATAATCACGAAAAGATAATAAGCAATTCAAATTTTCAGCAAGAGTAATGAAAAATATGAATCGTCAATCTTTGCTTAAGGAAAAGAGAGAATTTTTTAGAGCCAGATCAAATATTATTGAAGAAAAAGACGATTTCTCCAAAAAGACGGTTGGTTTTTCTCTTTTCTGTCTCAATTATCTTTGAAATAATTGGAAAAGACGATTGGTTTCTTTAATTCTTTTCTCCAGAAAGATGATTGAAAAAGGCGGTTGTTCAATTTTTCTTACTTATCTCAGTTCTTTAGGCAGCCTGATCTCTTTTCGACTTTTCCATTTTCCCTCACATAAATTAAGGTAGGAATACTATTTAAGAATATTATATTCAAGGATATTATAATTAATTAGTGACATTATTCTTAATTTTAATATCTTATGCATAATAATAAAAATTTTATAGTTTAAATATTTAATTATAAATAAATATACAATTATAACAAGAAATTTTTTGGTTCCCCTACAATTTTGAGGCACTGTGCGGCCGCTCAACTCGTGCACCCTCAGGCCGCCTCTGCTCATTAAATTTCCCTAAATTCACAATTTCTATCGGGCATTTCATCCAACACTTTCCTCGCATTCTCAAACATGCCGGATTGTCTATACAATTGACAAGTCTGATAGAGAAGTGAAAATATCATGTCTGAATTGCTTCTAGTGTTGAGGAATTCCTTCAATCCACTTGAAGCGTTTGGCAGAAGGCAGGTGGTGGACTATGGACTCATAAATGCCGTTATTGGTGTGGAGATGAGGTTGTCTCCATGAGGCAGAAGCTTGAAAAATAAGAAGATATTCTCTCACTCCATATTTTACGGTTGAAATCTATTAAAAATGATAATTATCCTTAAATTCCGGGATTCCTTACTAAACTATCAAACACATTATTTTGTACATAAATTTAACTGATGTTTGGATAAAATTTTTAATGACCTGATTAACGATAATACAATCTGTTTCTCTTAATTTTCTCCCAGCGAAAATGGCTTAGAGAAACATATGTTAATTGCAACCCAAATCTCCAATAGAATTATGATTCATTCAAATATCCAATGATGAAAAAATTATGTCCCGTTGATATAACCGAGGTTGTCAAGAAAGCAAAGGGGCCAGACTTAGAGCTCGAATTCAGTAAAATAACAATATTTTAATTCATTGATCAACATTAACGTACATCAGTAAATCATTATATCCATGGATGACAATGGGTCAGGTTTGGGACGGGGCACGAGGCAACGGCTTGTCTGGTTTTTTGCCCTTTTTTTTTTTTTTTTTAATACATTTTCAAAATTTCAAGTTATGCTATTATTAGAGAATAAAATACAAATTCAAAATGCACACGAATATTCCATAATTTCAGCCATTTCGTATAATGATAAATAATGCAAAAGACCATTACAACATCAATGCAGTTTTCGGCAGGTCACCTGTAATGACATTATAGGGGAGGGAGGAAAGAACACAAATTAAGCAAAAATATAGAAGATAGAGCCCTCTTTTCTGAAAGTACTTCCACAAGAAATGGGGAAACGAAAAGACGATATTTATGGGCTTCACAAACTATTCTAATGGAGTATAGAATGACTTCCTACTTTTTTCGTGCTGATGTTTTCTTTGCATTACAGCTTACCTATGACTCGGTATATTCCGATATTGTACTTCTCTCATATTCCATAACAGCTTCTGTGGGAGCTCTTGTTTTCAAAACCATTTCTTCATACTCGTCGCTAGCATTTGAAAGTGCTGTAATAGCCCCTCCTGCCCCTATGGAAGCTTCACCGTCGTGCATGATAATAGTTCTTATAACTATATTAAGGTCAAAGGTTTGGTTATACGAGAAATATCCAATGCATCCAGAGTAAATACCTCTTGAACAACTCTCCAGAGAATCCAGAATTTCCATTGATCTTAGCTTTGGTGCACCTGTCATTGACCCACCGGGAAATGCTGCTTTCACACAGTCGATTGCACTAATATCTGGTTGCTTTGTTCCACGTATCGTACTCACCATTGTGTGAACTGTAGCATAGGATTCAACTTCCATAAGATTAGGCACATGAACAGAGCCCGGCTCACAAACCCGCCCCAGGTCATTCCTCAGAAGGTCAACGATCATCAAATTTTCAGCTTGATCCTTTTCACTATTCATGAGACAATGAGAAAGCGTACATTATTGAAAATATAAAAACCTTGGTCAATAAAGAAAATGCGGCTCACACTGGTTACCTAAATGCAAGTATTGGTAAGCATGGGAAAGGGGGAAATTGAGGCCACTAAAAGGTGCTTGAGAAAGCAAGCAAACCTGTGGGATTTACATATATAAAATAGTTTCTATGTTATGTAAAAGACCAAGTTACAAACATAAACCTCGAAAAAATGGAGTAAATAAGGAAAGGCAAGGAGAATCTCAAGGCAATTTGAACCATGATCTTATATGGCACATACTTTGAAGATACTTCCTCCAGAAAAATAAGCAGAAAGATTACTTAGCCCTTGTTTGAGCCCCATTTTTGCCATGAAAATGCATTTTTGAATAGTTTAATGATGTGAAATGTGTGGTTAAAAAATAAGGAAAAATTTTAGATTTTCGTGTAATATTATTTTATTGAAGAATGTGTGGTTGAAATGATGTCAAAACACTGTTTAACAATGTATTTTTTCAAAAAAATGAGGCTCAAACGAGGGCTTATTTTCTTAATAAGCCATAGGTTTATATTACCTGTATTGCAGTTGTAGTTTGAGTAACTCATCTTCCTCTGGTGTTGATCCACGAGCTATGGTACCCTTGATAGGTTTGGCTTCCAAAATACCATTTCTATCCAATTTTAGGAACCTCTCAGGGGATGAGGAACAGATGCATAGATTTTCCCCTGAAAAATTAAGCCAGGCAGCGTATGGCGCTGGATTTTTTTCTCTAAGACTAAGATACAGTCCCAGGAAATCTATATCTCCTACTTCTCTTCTCATCTGAGTTGTAAGACACAACTCATAGCTTTCACCATCTTTAATAAATTTCTGGCACTTCCCAATATCTTCAATGTATTGCTCTCTAGATTTTTCAGTGGAAAACCCGGGCCTAAATGAGACATCTGTTGAAACGCGAGATGCCTCAGATATAGACTTCATAGTAGGATAAGTTTTAAAGTCGAGAAGCTTCTGCTCAATATCATCCAACCAAGAAGTGTCATTCTTGTTACCATCAACAATAGACAAGATATAGACATCACCATAGTGATGATCTATCACCACAAGGTTATCTGAAAAGAAAAGGCAAGCATCTGGGGTTCTCGATTTGTGACGATTAGAAGCAATGCCACACTCAACTTTAAGATCATACCTGCAATGAGATTCATTGTACGCATCATAAAAGACTAATATAAAGACATTTATGGTCATTACAGTATATAAGAACTAGAACATTCTTTGAGAGTTTGATCAAGGCAAAAGTTTGAGTTCTAAGATCCTTGCTTAAGAACAAGCCTTTCATTCAAGATTGGGAAAACAAAAAGCCGAACAGTTCTTTTACAATACAGCATAGCTCATATTTAAGGTCGTCAGACCTGAATAATTCAAGTCAGAGTTATTTGGTATAATGTCTTCCTAAGACATATTTAATGTTGCATCAATGAAAAGTTCCGATTTATTATTTCTCTTGGAAATCAAATTAAAGACCCTATCTCCAATAAAGATTGCTTCCAAGCCTGGAAGATGCATATTTAACTAACATAGCAGAAAACTTGAGTAGGAAGACTGTTTATAGAAGATAGAGTTGAAAACTAAATGTGCAGACTTAAATATAATTTAGTATCGGAATATCAGCTTGTGGAAAACTATTCCTATATGCTGGTATAAGTGTGCATAGAGTAAGATACTGCGTAAAATCTTGTGGATTTGGAAGGCTGGGAATATTTTTTTCCTAGTTCAAGTTTTCACATTTGAATATCTTATTTATGTCTAAAGATGTATTAACTACCTTAATTCTAATTAATTTTGTGTACAGAGCACAATTGTAGATATATGTAAATGTGGTTTCCATTATGCAACTGAATTCAAGAATATAACACAAAGATCAGCCACATACCCAATGTAACCAATATAACCTCCATAAAAATCAAAGGGCAATCCTTTGTAATCATTGGCATCATATTGAAATGACTGGAGCTCCTGATTCCAAGGTGAAATACAAAAAAGTAAGGTGTAATCCAATACATACAGTAAACCGCGGATCATAAGTTAAGCATATAGCACTAACATTAGGAAAGAGTATCTTATGGAGAAGAAAAAAAAACACAAGAATCATCAATGATATACCGGGTTGTGCTGATACAATGCTTCACTGCATCTGTAATTAATGCTACAAAAGTATTCTTAACAAAAATTGCCATTTTAAGACAAGAAAATTGCTAGAGGATAAATATAAGCCAACTGTAAGAAGATGAAAACATACAGCAATATTTCCAGAATCTGCACCCAATCAAATATAATAGTAGCCTTTGTTCATGTAAAAGTACTAAAAAGTAACCTTTTCATTTAGTCTATTCAAACATCAACTCAGTCACTCATTCACAACTACTACCCAATTTATTAATCAAACATTTCGTGGGAACCAATACTAGTTCTCCTAAAAAATTACTAATATTTTCACCCTGAAACTCCTGAAATACATTAAAAGATATTCTTTAAACATACTCAACCAAGTGAAACTTTTCCTCAAAGAACACAAAAACATCGATTTTTTTTTTTTTTTCTTCTTTTTCCCTTTTAAAGCATATTGATATATAAATATATATACTTCTAACATGCCCTAAAGAGTCAACAAGGGACTATGGCATGCTTTCGGTCAAGCTAATAATGATAAAACCTCATAATATGAGGCGCAGAAAAACAATGAGAGAAGCATATTTTTTTAGCAAGCATCAACAAATTAAATAAAAAACAAAAACAATATAATTATGAGGCTCTCACGAAGTACCTTATTCAAAAAATTAAAGAATCCATCTTCCAAAAATGTACTTCTGATAGAGCCCTTAGCATCTTCAATTAATAGATAGCCTCCTGCCTTCAACGTCATATTGCTAGAAGCGGTATCCACATGTTGAGATTCATGTCAGACCCATGAAACACAGTAAATCGAATCAAATTATGTGATCAATACTCTATTAAAAAAATTGACCAACTTCTAACCTTGGATTTTTCAATCTAAACGTCACTTGCTTCCAGAGAGAACCACCTTTTGCCCCCATGAATGAAAAGCGTGCCCTGCTCTAAAAATATGAGATGGTTTATCATCAGAAAATATAGAAAAGAGAAAACCTCAAGAACTTACAAAAACCAACAATGGATATTAGTTTAGACTATTTAACCAACAACAAACGAAAAAATGACAGTTGACTGATGGAACCAAGAATACAAGGAAACAGTTGTCAATTTCCCCAATCGAAATGAGCCTTAATAGCTAGTAATAGTAAGTAAAATTTGCAATTCAATGTAATTTATTTTTCAGTTAAAAACAAGCAGTTGACAGACACAACTGGTAGAAATTTACACTAAAAAGCCAATTGATATGGGGTTTCCAAAATGCATAATATTGTAGCTTAAGAATGAAAAACCTTAACTCAAACTGGAAGTCAAATCAAACTCTTGCAGAATATTTATGAAGTTCTACCAAAGTTACACTGAAGAATCAAATATTTCATGCCTGTGGGAGATTTTCTTCTTAAAGAAGAGAACCCCTAAATTGACAATTAATAACAGCACTTAAGGATATTGAAGTACTAAAATAATGAAATGAGTAAAAATTGTCACAGTTCGTGACTAATATTCAAAATTCTTAATTTTAGAATTGGAAGTGAAAGGTCTAACAAATACCAAGGAAATGAATTGGGTAGAGTGGACATTACAAGAAAAGGAAGAACAACAACAAGAAGAAAACCTTTTCCATTGAGGAACTATCTAGCCAAAAGGTGTTTTCCGACTTCTGATCTCCAAACAGCTTGCTGAAAATGTTCACCGCTCCACCAGCTTGGCTCACCAGGCCTTCGATTTTTCTCCATTTCAACCTCAAATTTTTTGTACCACTCCTAGAATGAGATGGATTTATTACGTTACTCATGCTAACATGATTTCTTTTGTCCAAGTCATTCACCACACGATCAGCTTGTGAAACATCTTGGAACATCCGCTGGACTTGGGGCACCTGCATGCATGCTAAGCAAAGTTTACTGCTCAGATTGAATGAAAGATTATGATTTAGAAAAAAAAATAAAAAAGAGGAAATATCACCTTTTAGCTACCTATGAGGCTAGATCTAAATATTGGATTTAAACATTTTCAAAGAGCCTGCAGCAAATTTGACATGCTAGGTTCACTTAATACCAGCACATATGGATCAAACCTGAAACTCATTGCAGATATGGATTCTCTGCAGCTACATATTGCTATATGATCCTCAATGATGTTACCATATATTGAACGGACCAATGAAAAAATAGATGAATGTACTTTACTTTTTTGAAGTAGATTACCATCAAAATGGAGCTTTCTCTCACTAACCAGTGATGATCTCAACCTAAACCAATGGTCCTTAGTGATGTCTGCAAAATTCTTGAATAACTTCTGCCCATGACAAGTTGCAATGCTCTCAGGATGGAACTGGAGGCAAAACCAAAGAGTAAAACTATAGCATAATAAAAAAATATACAGTAATTTAATTTACAAAAATAATAAGCAGCACACCTGCAATCCATAATGAGGTCTACTAGTGTGCATCAAGCCCATAAGAACTTTTCCACTCTGCATTTCCTTAAAATCAGAGAAATGCCATGGTGACCCATTGACTGATGTTTTGGACAAAGAGTCAGGCGAAATTTGCAGGCTATTCTGTGCGCTACAAACAACACGGGTGGTAATAGATCTATGGGGTACAAGATAAGGAAGTGTGCTGGCAGTGGAGGTCCATGCTATAGGTATGAGTTCCTTTGGAAGTGACTGTGGATCTATAACGAGGGAATGATATCGAACTACCTGCATCAAGCAGTACATATTGCAGCAAGTGGCAGAACAGAGTGAGTTCTAGTCTAGAATATATAAGAATCTTAAAAGAAGTCATTAAACAAGATTTCTTGCACACTTGTGTTCTGCCATACTGACCTTGAATCCTGAATTCTGTCCAGAAGGGATATCATGGAACAATCTACAACCATCGTGCTCAATGTCACTGAGAGTCAAAATAAAAAAATTAATAGCAATTGAAATAAGTGTGTGAACAACATACATGATAGATTGATCTTGCAGTTCAAATATTAATTTTATTCATGATGATACATTACAAAGTACTTAGCCTTTGCCTACAGTCCATTAATTTGCGTCATTCATGCACCAGTCTTTTCCCCAATAATTATTTGTGATAATATCAAATCAGAACAATATGTTAAGCTTGGCAGATGGAAATCTATATACAAAAATGCAAGCCCAGTTATTATAGCTTCTTATATGGTAAAAAAAAAAATACAAACAATAGGTTAATCACCTCAGGCGTCCATGAACAGCTTCGGGCGCACGTACAACTTGAGCACCATGGACATAACCTAAGGCCTGTAAATTTGAAGACAATGGAGTTACAAGAAACCATATTATTGACATATATGAATAGCATCCCAGAGTTCATTGTCAAAGTATTGAATGCAAGCAGACAAGCAAAAATGTGCATATGATAAACTTGCATAGAAAGAACATTTCAATAAGATAATGCAGGTGAAATTGCATTGATCCCCATCTGTCTTAACAGTTGCTATAATTTGTGCGTTCACTACATGAGTTAATGTATGTTGCTACTTTATGCTTTTAGGTAATGATGTATCAGTTTTTAGTCAGCTAAAGTCAAATTGAAATAATGGAGGATCTCTAGATTTTTAAACATGCTAAGAAATTACATTCAACATTAAAAATATAATATACATGCATTATTCTGGCTTAAATAGATAGGATGTAAAGGCTTTCTCTTGATAGGTATTGTGGAGTAGCAACTTTTTAGCAGGATGAGTAGGAATTGAGATCGAGTACATTCATGAAGGAAGAAGAAGAGGCATCTCCTAAGAGATTTAAGGTTCTCTCGTATTTTACCCAAGCAATGAATAACCTCATCAGGTCAAAGGAACAATCTTAATAGACTCAAACAATTTATTAATAAATCACGAGGCTGAAGGAAAAATCCACTCCTCTCTCCTGAGAAGTCCCAAGTTTATCTCAGCTGTTGAGTTGGCTCTTCTTCCTCATCTCACAACTGACTTCTTCAAAATAATTAATATGTTCCACTTTCCAACCCTCCATCCCAAAATCTAATGAGTGGTAATGACTGGCGAAAATTTCCTTCCAATGAGAAGATATCTAACCTTTCCCACTCTCCTCCATCTTATGTTGGATCCCTGCACCAACACAACCTTAAACAAAAGGGTTGTGGTATGCAATTCTGTACCAGTGAAGTTATAAGCATCATATTTAATGTAAATGGGAAGAAAGAGAGGACGAGCCCAAACGAGAAAATCAAACATGAACTTGACACAATCTTTAGAAGTGACCATATAAACTTTTCTTTGGTATCAATGAAAACAGCATATTTCATGCACATTTTGCTGAAACTGGGAACTTTCTCATCAGCATTAAGCACTAAGATTCCCCCAACAATCAATAACGCACTATTCTACCTCAACCGATAATTGACATTCGTTCAATTTCATATAGCGTAATTCTTCAAGAATTTCAGTAACAATATTGCTACTCTCAATGTTTGTAACTAGTAGTAAGCCATTGTAGTTTGACCACATCCATCAAACTGAAGGAAAACACTTTTTTAAGAAACATGAAACAAATTTCGAAATCAAGAAAAATCTCTCCATAACCATATTAAGGAAGTAAACAGACAACAGAAGATGATAATATGTTATTAACTTGATATCTCCAATATTTCTATTTTTTTTTTAAATAAAAGAGTTGATTCCCAATGTTGCACCAGAGCATACAACTTATTCCACAGAGCTTGAGTCTATTAATTGACTTCCTCGTTGAAAGATTGTTTTTATTGAAATGATTTGTTGACTTCTCGAAATATTCTCATTAATTTAGATACTCCCCTTGTCCTTCTTTGAAGGCCCTCATTTTAGCATTGGCAAGTCCAAGCATAATGTCCCCTTCTTTGAAAGTAGACATTGTCTCTCCACAAAATCCTTCCCTATAGTAAATTATGTGAAATACACAGATTCTTGGTCAATATATTTTTAGGGACAAAGCAGCAAATGCTCAAATTTTGAACTCTTGCCTAAACATCTGTGCCAATTCATTATATGGGGGCCTCAAATTATGAAAGAATGATTTGAAAATTCCTGCTAAAGGCAATGAGGTTACTTTCAAGGACAAGACAAAAAATGTATTTATGGGATAAGTTACACCCACATTCCGAGTGCCAATGAGCAAAGATTGCCCAATTTTCTTTTGTGTTATTCTATATAAAAGCTTACTAAATCGCATATGTTTAATCTTATTCACCCTACTCACATTATGAGATTGCTCATAGGGCAAGGGTAAAACACAAGGTTGTGGCCATAAACATGCAAGCAATGTTATATGTTTCATTGTAATTTGAGAACCAATTGCCAAAGAGCTGGGCATATTTTCTTATGTAGTTCTGATGTGATCTATGGAACGAAGGCAACGAATACATGTCCAGGTAAGGATCTGTTGATTGTTGAAGAAGGGCCAATGACTCGGTCGCGAACAAAGATGGCCAAAGAAGCGAAGGGATTGCTCGTTCAAGCAACAATGGATGAAACTCGAACTTGGCGAGCAAAAAAACAAGTTCCATGTTGGACTCAGGAGCTGAAACGAGTTGGTTCAACGTGATTCGGGCAAGGGATGAAAGAGTGGAGAATTATTACCATGCGACCCGATAGTCACAAAAACCATGCGGCCGCATTACACTAAATAGCAAAAACAGAGGCCATTTTCACTAAGCATATGAGACCGTATAGACTTACTCTATGCGACCGCATAGGGTAAAACTGTAACGCGAAAATTTCCAAATTTGCGAAATCTTTTATTTTTGTTAGAACTCTATTTTTATAGTACCTTTGTAATCTTTTAGACATTATTTCCGTTTAGACTAGGGTATGAGTTTCCTATATATAGGACTCATTATTCTACATTGTAAATTACATTCATTCATATTAATTGAGAAATTAATTTTGTGAGCATATTTTGCTTTCAATTTTTTTCCTTCATTGAACAAATTCCGAACTTATCAAGAATTACTTTCTTGTGGCGTTCAAACAATCCGGGTGATGTTTTCGAGTCTTGTATCAAGTGGTCAACAGATTGTTGGCATTTGTTGGTTACTTGGTTCAATATTCTTGAATCAAACTTAAAACTTTAATTTCTTGGCTTTCTGGGTTGTGATTCAATCTCGTGTGGGTTTCGTAACTTTAATTGTTACGTGATATCAGTTCGTATCAGAGCTTAAACTCCAAAAATCAAGGATATATCCCTTTCTTTTTTTGTTGAGTCTTTTGTTTTCTTTTCTCTTTGCGTTCGTTTTTTGGATCTTTAATCCATAAAGTTCCAAAAAAAATTTAAAAGTCGTTTGTTTGCTCATTTAGCATCCAAATCAATTTTTATTTTTTTCGCTAGTTTCATAATAGAATTTTTTAGCAAAAAAAAAATATATATATATTATTTCAAAAATTGCTAGCAACATACGAATTCATATTCTTTGATAGGGCTGGGTAAAACTCCCGAACCGAATTCGATTGAACCGAAACCGTACCGAATGGTTCTTCTTAAGTATCTGAGTCGAGAATCGACGAGTTCGGTTCGATTCTCGGTTCTAGAATAAGAACCAAAGAACTGAAAAAGAATAAGAACCGAATCTCCCTATTTTTTTAATTTATTTATTTTAAATAAGTCGAATTATTTTATTTTTTTCTAAACAAATTTGCTAACTAGTTAATTTAATTCAAACCTAAAAATATGATTTTACTATTTCTAATTTTCAGTACAAGCCCAATTTAATCAAATTGATCTAAGTTTTACCCAAATCTATTATTCTACCGTAGTGTTGTTCTACCGTTCTGCAAAAATTGAACTGAAGCTCGACAGCTCATCTCTTAATTATTGTAAGCTCGCTATCGTCATTTTTCTGTGATTTTAACAATCAAATCTATGAAGAATTCAGCAAAGAGAGACGCAAAGAACATATAAGATTGGACTACATTATTTTGTAAGAGCGATATCGAATATGCCATTAGTTGAATTAACAAAGCTTTGTAAATATTAAAAAAAATTAATTACAGTACAGAACCTGAGAACAGAATGCAATCGAACCGAACCGAACCCGAACAGTTCTATAGTCAAATTTGGACCCGACGATTTCACTTATTAAATACCCGAAAATTTTAGGTTCGGTTCGGCTCTAACGAAAATCGCATCAGACCATGCACACCCCTATTCTTTGAGTCTTGTCCAACCCAAAATTCAAGAACTACTTTTTTGAATTAATAATAGTTCCCATTCAAAATTGTCCAAATTCCTTTGTTTGTTTCTTTTCCTTCTTTCTCAAGTCTAAAAAATTGTAAATTCTCACTCACATCTTAGTTTGAATTCTTTAAGAATAAAACAAGGTATGTGGTTTGATTATTGATGGGGTAATTGTACTAATATTGTTAGTACTACACTTGTTGAGAAATTAGGATTGACTACAATAAAACATTCTAAGCCTTATAAATTGCAATGATTGGATGAATGCGGGGAGGTTAAGGTACGTAGAAAAGTTTTGGTGAATTTCTCGATTTGGAGGTATAGCAATGAAGTGATGTGTGACGTAATTCCAATGCATGATGGATACATTTTGTTGGGTAGGCCTTAGCAGTATGATAGGAAGGTAAACATGATGGATTCTAAAATATGTACAGCTTTACCAAGGATGGAAAATCTATTATTCTTTCGCCATTAATACCGGCACAAGTGTATGAAGATCAAATTAAATTGAAACGTGAGGAAGAAAAAAGAATGAGAACCACAAGAAAGAAAAGAAAAAAAAGTCTTCCAAGAGGAGAGAAAAGTTGAAAGTGAGTTTCTATGCAAAAAGGAATGAGATCGAGAGTACTTTGGTGAGGACTAACAAACCCTCCCCTATATGGATATTTCTTTATTACAGGAGTTCAAAGACTTGTTCCAGGAAGACTTAATTGATGGGATACCACCCATTGAATATCAAATTAATTCGACGCAAGTGGAGAATTTGATAGGTACTGAAGGAGGAGCATTAAACGATGACATGGTAAAGTATCAATACTCCATACATAGGTTGGATGATGGTCTAGCATGTAGGAATAGTATTTCATATGGAGCATTTACTGTTACAGATATTGATGAGTTTAAATCTTCAATGAGAATGATCAATCATTTGTTACATGCATTCATAAGCAATCATCTACTAGTTTATGATATTCTTGTATGTTGCAAAAACTTAATTTAGCAAGATAAACAATTGGGGTGCATTGTTGGTGATTTGAGGCATTAGAATTTATATTTCAATATTGAAATCCTTAACTATTTTGGTCCGAATTTGTGGAGTGTGTGGAAAACTAATTTAATATCCTCTAATACTTCTACTACACATTTTGATATGGTTTATGAATTAAATCCACTTTATTTGATTTAATTCCTTTAACTATTATTGTAAGTGGCATGGAAAGCAGGGGATTGAGTTGTATGCATCTCAAGGTAGCAAACGGAAAAGGAGTAAGTATACAGAACAGGTGATTAGGTTTGGATGCGTAGGCGACTCTGTAGCACTGACACGCTGCTGGCGACAACATATCGGTGTCCGACACATCGCAGACTCGTGTTGGAAGCAACACAGAAAAATAAATGGGAGAAAGAAGTGCAACCGGCGGAAGTCTGGCAGTCTGGGGAAGGAAGAAAAAAGAGAAGGATAGAAAAAAGAGAGAAAAGAGAAGAGGAAGAGACTGTTGGCCTGAAAAAATGCAATCGATGGTATTGACTTGTCTGGGCAAGGAAAGTAAACAGAGAAGGAAAAGAGAAAGAGGAGGAAGAGATTGCTGGAAATGAAAAAGTGGATTACTTCCAAAATTAAGATTTATTATAAGATAAGAAAAGATGTAATCTATACATTTTAAAAGAAATAGTAATTTACAAGAATAACAAGGCATAACTACTGATTTAAGTCAAAAACAATACATCTTCCGTATCCTACACAAGGCACCAGTAAGAATCATGCAAAACAAATGTACAAATATATATAGAGAATACCTGATGGCCAAGGCAAACACCTAAAATCGGGATATCGATACACTCGAGTAGCAGTCGTAGGCAAATTCCTGAAAATGGTAAATTAGTTATGGTCATACACTCATAATAAGTGATAACTATAATCAAGTAGAATTCAAATAGAAGCAAGTAACGAGTAACAAAACACTGAGTTTAGTCAAATCTTAATGGCAAAGAAGCAAAAATTCAGATGCAGATAAAACGTTAATAATGACAAGTATTATTTTCTCCTAGTGCTTTCCATGTTGAAAAAGAAGATAAAAGAACAGATGGATCCACCATCTTATGGCATTTTCTCACTTCAAAACAGCTATTAACCTGAGTTATAATATAGGTCCAGAAGAAAAGGCAAAGGCCAAGCTCAAGTGGTCAGAGCGAAGCTTTAACAGGTTGATGACCAGGGTTTGAGCCTCCTTTTGGGGGCGGGGTGAAAACCTTTGACCCCCCTTTAAAAAACACAAAAAATTAAACGTCCAGAAGACGGAGATGTAAAAATTCAGTGATTAAAAGGAATAAATATTCAATTACAGATTCTGTTCCGACAATAGGAGCATGTTCAGTAATGTTATCTTCAAACAAGGATAATGTATATGGTATAGCATTGTAAACTAACCTATATCAGCCGGGCATGTAGGAGAACCAGGCCCCGGAGATATGACAATATTGTCAAATGCCTTCTCTACATACAACTGAATAAAAATTTCTTCCCAGGACCACTCATCATTACGAATCACCACTGGAGGCACTGATAAAGTTACAATACAAAGAAAATGTCAGTAGTGGGTTATTCCACTCTTATCACCAAGAACCTACCTAGGAAACATATGTGAATTCCACTCTTATTACAGAGAACCTACCTAAGAAACAAATTCGAATTCATTTATTAAGGACATAATTCAGCAGATGATATAGAACTAGAAGTCAGGCCAAGCCCTGCTATTGATTAAATAAAATTACCTATTACTTCCAATGGACGAATTTCCATTCAACTTATGATGCCAAACTACATTTAAACCTAACAGCGCATAGAAGGTCGATAGGCAGTTTAGTCCAATTAAAGAAAGCATCAAAGAACAGTCGCATATTCCTAGAAGTTGAACTGTTGATACAAGAACATCGAATCCCTTGCATGCTATCAGGTTTCATAAACAAGTTCCGTAAAGATTACCGAAAGCATAGTGATGTAACACAACAGAAAAAACATGAGAATTCAGGAAGTTGGGATTGAAATTTCAATATCACAGAATATCACAAATCAAGGTCTAAATTATTCAATAAAATTCGTATGTAAACAACACTATCAAAAATGGAAACTTCCAAAATAATAAAAGTGAAAACCATTAATAATATTGTTCAAAGACAAAACTGAAATCTTGAAGCAGTGGTCATAGAGATTAAAAACTAATATTGGCCCAATTCACAACAAGCCCACCAAATGAATACCATTTCTGTAACGAAAATACACGGATTGACAACTGAAAACAGACTCCTTGACACTAACCCAGTAAAATATATGTCCTGAAATCTCTAGAACTTAAGCACTAGAACTGCTCACAAATGTTCTTAAGAGTTGACCTATATACACAGCTAATCTGCAGCCATACTGACACTCCCATTATATATTTTGTAATGCCACACATTATTATCCCATATTCTTCGTTATTATAAAAAACTTGTGAGTTTCTTTCTAATAGTCATGGAAACTGAATAGTCACAAAATAAGTGAAGTGGACACAAAAGAATCAGGTAACCAAAACATATATACACAAACACAAACAAATCAATATAATTGAATTATATTGTTATGCACAGCTGAGGCAGCAAAAAGTATAGGAATCCATATATACAGAAGAAAATTTCATCAACAACACCAAAATAACTACAAACTTGGGCGGGTAACATTACAACAAAAGCGAGAAAGAAAGAAAGAACGCTTACATCCGTTAATTATAGACAGCTCCTGGTATATATTGTACGTGTAGCTATCATAGTTATCAATCAACAATGTTCTAACGAACTCCAACTTCTTCGATCGATCATTTAGCTGTTTCTTCCCTCTATATGATCCCTCCAAAAGCCTGGGCACCAAATGGCTTGAAACCATGGCTTTTTTCACAATCCCATCGCACATATAAGTATTGTTTTTGTTGTTTGAATCACCGACTCTAGGGAAAGCATTAGGAGCTACTAAATTCAAGTTCTTCTTTTGGAAAATAATTCCACAACATGAAAATGAAATCTGTGAAAATGAACCTAGAATAAAACCCATTTCTATTTTGTCCCAATAACAGAGAAGTAACAATAAACAGGCTTTGTTCACAATTCAGAAAGCTCCCAATGTCCCTACACTACCCTGCAAAACAAAGTCCAAAAAATGGCAATTAAACATTTTATTTCACCGCACCTATCAAGGTTCCCAGTTCGCCAACAAAATTGAGTACAAAGATATAACAATATATGTAATATGAAGTGGGTTTTATGTAAGTTAAAATAATAGAAGCGTATAAGCAAGATCCCAGGATTTCTATTGAGGCCCTTGCAAAAATTTATTGATCTCCAAGATCTGAGAAGTTTATACCTTGGAGAGGAAACTGGAAATTCGTTTTTATGCGTTTTCCTCGATTCTGTTCTGTGGGTATATTTTTCCTCCTATTTCTTTCTCTCTTTAGTCTTTTCTTAGGATGCGGTGGCTTGTGCAGCAACCCCTTTTTTGAAGAGAGAGGCAGCGGGTATTTATGTGTAAATTAGTTATTACCAGAATAAGGGGGGAGTCGTCAAAAAATTGTTCAAAATTACAAAACTCATGGCCAAGTGGCTAGGAATGGAAAAAAAATTCGTTCAACTCGATATTCGTGGGGTCCCGTATCGAATGGGGTGAGGATTATTCGCCTAACCGAGTAAATGGAATGGGTACAGAGCGAGAGTCATTGTCCTGAAGTGAGTATGGGACGGATACGAAAAACATAGTCTCCGTCCCGCTTAAAGTTGATTTCAAATTTAAGTTTTTATCAAACGAAATAATAGATTTATCATCATTTTTAAAAAGAATATAAGTTGTTTTTAACTAATTAGTGAAAATTAATAATATTTACTAACTAAGGACATAAAAAAATAAAAAGAAAAAATAAATGGGGCGATAAATGGGGTCGGGGACTTGTCCCGCCCCACCCCGATCCGATCCTGCATTGAACCCGCCCGGTCTTGCTTTAATTGGGTGTGAGTATGAGTATGAGGCAAGATAACAAAAATACTCGATGAGACAGGGTGAGAATGGCCAACCTGTTCCATACCAGCCCTGTTACCATCCCTACAAGTGGCCAACACATTTTTTTAACTGTGCCCACGCCGCCTAGGGTGGGCACCATAATCACGTAAGTTGGTTCGATTTGGATGGTTAATAACCACGAAAATAAATTATTTTTTATTAGTTCAGCCATCAAAATTGGAAAAAAAAAAATCAATGAAAACAAAAATAGAATACTAAGCCAATTTAACAAACAATATTCCAAATGAAAATACAAAAATAAGCCTAATTCCTAAATGCAAAATCTGAATTTAACAAACAATTTTCAAATATGTTTAATATTTGTGTAGTAGGGTATAGAGTCATTGGATTAGGTTAGTTGGACTTATCAGGACGATAATGGGTAAGAATTTTGGTCTAGACAGAATCATAGAAAGAACAATGAAAAGCCCAATTTCTCAATTAATTTTTTTTTAGCGGGTAATCGGTTCAGGATGAGGCGACGACGTAAATACCATAGACGTCCCGCCAAGAACTGGGGCATTAAAATCAAATATAATATCTATCCTATTGTGCATCAGTTCAATTTTTTTTTTTTTTTGCTCAATTCGATTCGGTTAACCGCGGTCTTCTATTTTGACAGTTAGAATTATCATCCCTAACGGCGTCCCTTTTCACACCAACCTTAACGATGACATTCAATTGGAAAACTTTGTGTAATCTTGATATTAAGAAATTTTGCATTTAGAAAACTATTAAATAACATAAATAACCTTGAAATTCATCTATGAATTGTGTGTACAAGAAATATTCCCATGTATGACAAGAACCAAATTTATTTGGAGAGTTGTAGAATGACACTGATGCTCCTCAATATAAATGTTTTGTTAGATCCTGATTTACACCTCTCGAGATAATTGTCCATACCATGCCCCGGACACAATTCCAAGCAAAAGTCTCAATTAATTTTCAAGCTAAATCCTCAATGTAACTCTGAAGGGCAATACCTCGAAAAGTTTCCAGGGCTAAGTGCTCTGGTGACCCCAAAGGTCAATACTTTGAGCACACTTCCAAGAAAAAGTGCAATACCTTGGAACTATACGCACAATATAATAAGTGGTTTATTTGTGAATTTTGAAAATTTTTAAGTCTTATGGAAAAAATTTCAATTTCTCAAGGACTAGAGTGAAAATTTTCGAAAAGTTCTAAGAACTATAAATTTAAGTCCTCATAACGTTACTAGAAGCTCAAATCCAATATTGGGCTCTAAATGAAATAATTTAAAAGTTTCAAGAATGATTTCCTAAACACCGGTGACATGACACATCATCTTATTCACTAATTAAATAATGTGTCATGTCACCGACACTTAACATAAGTTAAGCACCAGTGTTTAAGAGATCATTTCCATTAAAAGTTTAGGGATCTAAATTTATACTAGCAAGAACAATTGGTTATCTAAGAAATATTATAAGAGAGCCCACGATAATACTTAGAAATTATTATTTGCGATAAGTTGTGTATGGAATACTTCAACATTTTTTGCAAATAATAATAATTAGAAATTATTATTTGCGAAAGTCATGTTTTGAATGCTTTTGCAATTTCTAAAGCGTATAGGGGACAAACGGTAAGTATTAAGATATTGCTTGCTTGATGACTTTCCTAAGCCAATATAAAACTAAGGCTCGGTATTTTATCCAAGGGAAAAATTCATTTCTAAGGAGGTAAGTATATCCTTTTCAAAATTAAAAACAAAGGTTTAAAGTTTCAAAAATCAGATTTTTTTAATTTTATTTATAAATTAATTTATTAAATATATATTTTATTAATTAAATATATTGAGGTCACAATTTTTTGTCATAGTTATCTCATTAATTAGTCACAAATTAAATTTTAGTCACAACTTATTATTAGATCACAAATCGAAAATTTTATAGGTCACAAAAATATTTTCGATCATGAATCCAAAAAATTTATAGGTCACAGATTATTCATCGATTACGAATCCAAAAATTTTATAGGTCACGGATTACTCATCGGTCACAGAATCCAAAACTTTTTAGGTCACATTATTTTCATTGCAAATTATTGGATATATTGGTTTTGATTAATTTTTGGCTCACAACTTCATCAATTATGAGTCACAGTCATAATTTTCAGATCACATATCCAAATATTAGTGAATTTATTGGTCATGATTCAAATTTTAGTCACAACTTATTATTAGATCACAAATCGAAAATTTTATAGGTCACAAAAATATTTTCGATCATGAATCCAAAAATTTTATAGGTCACAGATTATTCATCGATTACGAATCCAAAAATTTTATAGGTCACGGATTACTCATCGGTCACAGAATCCAAAACTTTTTAGGTCACATTATTTTCATTGCAAATTATTGGATATATTGGTCTTGATTAATTTTTGGCTCACAACTTCATCAATTATGAGTCACAGTCATAATTTTCAGATCACATATCCAAATATTAGTGAATTTATTGGTCATGATTAATTCTTCGATCACAATTTTTTAGATTACCTATCCAATTGCGAGTCACAATTGAGAGTCACAGTCACGGTCAAAAATTTCAATTTCAAAATCTATTTTTACCAAATAATGGAGCTCAAACAAGTGCTTAATTAAGTATCATGCATGTACACTTCACCATTTATAATGATCAATTTGTAAAACGGATCACATGGTGGTGAGCTCCCCAACCCCGTGTACGTCCGAGGTGAATTGGGTGATCTTTTAAAATCATTTTCCTGAATGTCATGTTTTATCTTTTAAGAGGTGAAAAATTTGTTGGTGTTCTAGGCATTCTCAGCCAGAGGAAAATTCAAGATCTCCATCGGACGAGCTTTGGAGACGAGCATCCGCTGCTGGTGCTTTCACCCCTATGGAGAAAAGAGCTTTTGGAATAGCAGATGACATGTGAACATCTTTCATTTTGTTCTCCTATTATGTTTAAGAAAATATAATTATATTTACACCATGTCTTTTGTGAGGTACTTTACAGATATGAAGCTGGTCTTCTTTTTGCATACCTAGCTTTCATTCCGTTCTGTGAAGCAGGAGTCATGGACAGTCTTTCGCTGAGAGTGGGTCATAAATTTATCTTAATTTGTTTTCTCATTACACTATCTACTAGACATATTCTGCTCATGGTGCTGAACATTGTGTTTCAAACTTACAGAGGCTTCTGGAGAACACATTCCAGCTTGATCTTGATGCCATGAGAGAGTAAGTTGCATTACATTTTATTATTTAGACTAGTAATTATCGGAAAGATATATGGGAAGACTAGAATGCATAGAGAAGGAACTTGAATGAAAGTGCAGACAATCATCACACTCTGCATGATTATTGTTCTTTTCACCATTGTTTTCACAGACTATGTTACAAAATTATATTGAGATGCAAGATAAAGTACAAACCTCCACTAGTACAAATTTAGGCCTGGTTGCAGGCAAACGTGCCACACAATTGTATTGCTGGAGCTCTTCTAATTTTGGGCTGAGCTTCTCTGTACAACTTCCTGCCCCAACAGTCTTACGCGGCTTTATGAATGCACTGAACCCTTAGGAATTTCATTATCTGTGTCAATCCCGATTTGAGGGGGCTATTGGTGTTATATACATATGTATATATACATATGTATACATACATACATATGTATACATACATACATACATACATATACACACGGACACATAAATTTTAATGTTGGTGAATCTTAAAATATGTTTTTCACTACAAAAGTAAAATAAAAATAAATAATAAATTGAGTTGGAAAAACATAGAAAATACAAAATAAAAAGTAATGACATCGGCTCAAAATTTTTATCCTAGTTCATTTACAAATGCATTTTTAGTATATTTTTAGGTAAATAATCATTAAGAGTTTGAATTATTTTTTTATTTATTTTTTTAAAAAAACTTTTATTTTTCTTGAATTTTTATAGAACTTTTTTGGAAATTTTGATTATTCTTTTAATTTTATATTTGATTTTATTAAATTTTTATTTCTTTTGAATTTTTGAATTTTATTTTTTTATATTTTTGGGATTTTATATATTTTTGGAATTCTTTTTTGTTAGAATATCAAAACTCTCAAAATGTTAAAAAATAAATTTTGAGTTTATATTATAAGTTTAATCTTATTTTCGAAACTACAATTTCAAAATGAAAACTAAATACAGTTTTAAATAAATTTGGATACTACTATTTATTTGGAATAAAAATATTTAATTGTCAAATCATAACTTGTATTAAATCACGTTGAAATAGTTCTAGAAAAGATTAATTTAGAATCACTTATAATATTGAACCAAAAGTTCAATTTGATTTTATTAATTAGCATGGCCGATCAGATTATCCTGGATCAACAATAATGCAAAAAAATACTAAGAATTTAATAATTTCCAATGAAGAATTAGAGGATTTTTAAATTCAATGAATTCATGTCTAATACTTATTCTTTGTATCATAAGCATGTTATTGACCATTACAAGTTAAAGTTTGAATTAAATTCTTATTATCTTAAAAATTAATTAGGATGATACATGGGGCTCCATCACTCTTCATGTTAACCATCTAGATAATTTGCAACTAATAGATACAGTTATTAGATGATTGCAAGATGTTCGCAACTTCAAGCTTGCAAAATGACCTTTTAATTATTGGCTTCTTGTGTTAACTTTAGGGGAAATTGTAAAGTACTAATACTTTTTGATAGTTAGAAATGAATGTTTAAATTCAAAATCCTTCAATGTATTAAAAATAATTTTATACGTTAAAAGTTATTTTAATACAATAATTTGATCAAATATAAAATTGACTTTTAAAATGATATTTAAACTTGAAAAATATCTTTTATCTTGAAAAGTTAGTTACAAATACTTTTCAAAACCTTCGAATCGGATTAAATGGGGTGAAAACGTAAAAAGAATATACTAATCATTTTCAACAGTCCGTTCAAAATTTAATCGTTTTGACCTCTAATTATTTCAGTACAAATAACTATATTAATCATCTAGACAAGAGGCATACGACCAAACACATTATCCGAATTTATAGATTTTTTGAACGTTTTAAACTCTATAAATACCTCCACTTCTTGCACTGATCAACATATTCTTTGAGAATATTAAAGTGAACAATTACTACGCTTATCTCTTGAGCTTACATCTCATTTATTCTATCAAACAATTATTTTCAAAATCTTTGATTGGTTTAACTTTGAAAATCATATTTTATATTAAACAATTACTTTGAAAATCTTTGATTGAGTTAACTTTTGAAATAAATCTTTTCACTAAAACTTTTTCATCTAAAACTTGATCTTCATTTAGTTCTATTGAATTGAAGTGTTAGCTCATTTCTCTCTTAGCACTTAATTTACTTATATCATTTATTAAGAGAAAAGTTTCTAATTTTAAAATCATTTCTTATCAAATTTGTAGGTCATATTACGGTCCTATAAAAGCTCAATGTTGCATATGGGTCAGTGCTTCTTATTTGTAAGTCACCAAAAGTGTTGTAAGAGTTTGGATTGCTCTATAAGTCAATCAAATATAATTAAACGGCCTTGTATCGTTTTGGATTGAACCTCCACAGTCACATCGTTTGCTCATTCTCTTTCCTTTTACTTATCGCTTTCATATTTGTGCACTTTGTTTGATTGATAAATTCATTCCCAAATTGTTTAAATTTTGATGTTTTTCGAAAAGTATTGAAAACCAATTGAGCCCCCCCTCCCCCGCCCTTCTTGGTTAGTTATTCTTAGGCTTTCAATTAGAATTAGAGTAAGGTGCACTTTTATTTTTATTATTATTATTTTTTAAGATTTTACCATCTTCAATATTAGCTAACCATAATCTTCAAAGTATTGAAGGGCATTCTACAAATCGTTCTCCCTTTTTTGATGGCACACATTAGAGTTACTAGAAAGTTATGATGATGATTTATGTTTAATTCATAGATTTTAATATTTGGGAAGTTATTGAATATGGTTCTTATGTGCCTATAAAGATTATTAAAGTTGATGGCAAACCTGATCAAATCATTCTAAAATCTAGAGAAAAATATGATGAAGATGATAAAAGAAAATTATCTTTAAATGCTGGAGCCAAAAATCTCACTACAACAAAAATGTCTTTTTGCAACATGTAAAAGGCAAAATTCATGTATTAAATGTTATTAAAGGGTCTATTGTAACATTCTAATAAGTGAATGTTGCCATGGGTGTCAATAATTGAGATTTGGCAACATTTTTTAAGTGAATGTTGCAAATGTCACCTTTTTACAACATTTATTTACTGTTGTGGCAATTTTTATTTTTAGCAACGTTTGATAAAGTTTCTCTTTCGCAACGCTTATTTAACGTTGCAAAAATAGAAACTTTTAGCAACATTTTATCAAACACTGTGAATATGACGTTGCGAAAGATAAACATATTCGCAACGTTTGATAAACATTGTGAAACGGTTTATTATTAGCAACGTTTGATAATAAACCTTTTCGCAACATTTATCAAACGTTGCAAAATGTGATACCTTTTAAAATTTCATAAAATATGTGATTAAAAATAAATTTCGTAGGTTCAAGAGATGGTTTTTGACCATCATCCCTAAAATATTCCATTATATTTATTGTTGACCTCCAAAAATGGCTCCAACAGGCACCCTAGCTTCATCCCTTCGATACCTATGCATGAAGCACCCCGTCAAGAGGCAAAGGCGGCCAGATGAGAGAAAAGGTCCGGCGACCGTTTGCACTCCGACGGTCAAGTAAACGGCCAGACGAAGATAGATATATAGAGTGCTATAGTAGAGAGATGGGGGATTTGGCTAGAGTATTCAGAACATACCTTAGTTGTGTTAGTGAATCCATATATGTAAAGAAATGGACGTGAAATTGGTCAAACGGTTTGGTGGGCCGAAGTCCAAGCCTAATATGAGGTGAGCAAAATAATAGGTACCTTGGTAGGTGCTTCGGCTGGATTTCTTAGGGCCTCGGTGGCGCCTTGGCTGGACTCTTTAGAGCCTCGGCTTTGGGGCCCAATTCTGATGGGCCTCGTCCGAGTCCAATAAGATAGCCCAATATGATGTGATAATTCATAGGCATAACAGTAGCCCCCCAAGTCCGAGCCGTATTATTTATATGCAGGTCAGACTTGAAATCTAAACTCTCAAGTAGATGAGATCTTACAGATTGCCTCAGAAAAATGGGTAGCTCCAATAAGCGAGGGCTTACGAATTGCCTCAAAAATATGCATCGATCTCGAATAGGCGAGGACTTACGAATTGCCTCGAGAAATATGAGTCGCTCCAATAAATGAAGACTTACGAACTGCCTTAGAAAATGTGTCAGAATAAGCGAGGACTTACGAATTGCCTCGAAAGATATACTACATATATTTTTTCAAAATTTCGACAGCATCTCCTCTGTAATATGGACTAAACCTGTAACGACCCAAATTATTTTATTTTATTATTATTATTATTATTATTATTATTATTATTATTATTATTATTTTATTATTTTAGTCGCTACCAACTTTATTATAAAAGGATCAAATTTATTGGAAACCACATGATTAATAAATTGGAAACCACATGATTAATAAATTTTAAATTATCATCTGGCACATTCTAGAAATCTAATCTGCTAGGAGTAAATGAGTATATTTCGACGTGTTCATGGCCAACTAAACATTTTAACTAAAGAATTTTAACTAACAGGTGACAAAAGACAAGGATACTTTTAAAAACTTATTTTCATTGAGAAAATCCAAACACGTTACATCACATGGCTATGAGAGTTACATTTACTACTTTGAAATGAATTTGTCAGTAAGGAAATATTCAATTATTATTAAACAATGACATTGGTGCAAGAAATAATATTTAAGTCGAACAGTATATAAAATGAAATGACATTTGTGTGTATTTAACATCTTTTATACTAGCATGATTAGTGAATATGGGTTATGAATATTTTTATCATAAAATCCAATTCAAAGTACAAATGAATAATACAACTCCACTCCATAAAGTTAACTATGGTAGGCAGACAATTGAAAATTTGGTGTGACAAGTACAGAATCATTGTTTTGGCCATGCATGTTATAAATCTTGAAAAGGCTGTAGATGCCTTAGAAAAATGCAAAAGTCTTTGACGTGAACTTGACAGTTAATCAATTTTCTTTTAACCATTAAAATCGATAAAAGCAGTAACATATAGTTCGAGCTCTATTTAAAATGAATTAAACAAAAAAAAAAAACATCCATGTAGCAAATAAACATAAATGATAACTTAATCTTTAAAATAGGATGTCTATGGTAATGAACTAAAATTACTTGTTAAAATTATAAATTCTCGTCCAACAAATGAGGCACAACCACGCATCGAACCACCACGCTCCAACAGGACCCGATCTAACCTATGAGGTGTAGGAAAAGGGTGAGTACATGAGAATACTCAGTAGGATATCACATTAATGGTGCGATCCCGAAAAATAATTTTAACACAAGTGTCAGAATACCATACCGTTGCATAACTTTAAATCCGATAAGAGCTCACATCATATCATATCATTTCATTTCATTGTACCGGA